GATGAAGTTGAAGAAACCAAAGTGGCAGGTAACGCAGGACCCATTCTTTATGAAACCTTGCTGAGACTTTGTGATTAGGTTTTCTGTTAATAGGTGATCAGCGAAGCTGCTTTTAACTACTTTTTCCATAAATCTGGAGAGTACTGGTGTTATGTCGATGGATCTGTAATTATTGGCGTTCGATTTGTCTCCGGGCTTATAGCGAGGCGTTACGTAGTTACTTTTCCATTCAGTGGGGTATACGCCACTTTCCATTGATAGGGTGGATATCTAAAGCAGGAAAGGAGACATATCATCACCGCTGTTCCTGACAACAATCGAGTTTGGGTTGTCGATCCTCATACCTGTTGATAGTCGCAAGTTCGTGATAGCGTCTGTGGTACTTTTGGCAGTAAAATTCACATTGGCGCATGAACCTGTAGTGAGCAGTGAAAAAGTGGTAGGGTTAAGTGTGCTGGGATTGAATTTTGCGAAGGATGCGCCAACTAGTTCACAGATTTCAAGGGGATCGTTACAGACCACTCCATTGTGCAATAAACGGGCTATGTCTCGATTCCTGCAAACGTTTATTCAAAAGGGAGTTCAGACTATGTATCCTAGATCCACTTTTGAGGACATTCAGCTCTTCACTTATTGAGTCTTGTGTACGTAGTCTCAATTGCTTGATAAGTATCGCAGATTGAGTATAGCGCCAGGGAGTCTTTAAAGGAATGATATAGCTCAGATAATTTTCGTAATTTGTTCCGAAGTATTCGAGGGATGTATTGGCCTTCATTCTTCCTCACCTTAGCTGCTCTCATAGGAGCAGCGATATCTGTACATAGCATTATATTTCTATGAAGAAACGAAGGTGACTCTGTTGATGAGGCTATCATGAGGTACTCATCCCATGGGCTGCACCTGGGGAGCTCGATGAACACCCCCCAGTTTATACTTTTGTAGCTACGATACAAGATACTTCTCATAGGTTCCTCGTTTTCCTCACGAAGAGGTGGGGTTGGTAGGCGACAGAAAACCACTCTGTGATTACTGTTAGCGAATTCACCACCAAAGTGCGTGGCGACTGGGACGACGTCACGGCAAAAGACTAGATCCAGCGTGTGGGTGAACGGACATATTGTTTCCATCCGTGGAAATCTAAGACAGTAAGTATTTCGTCATAGCGCTGTGGGCCATAACTGGTTTCCCAGTTAACTTCAGGCAGATTAAAGTCTCCTGCAATCAGTTTGAAGTCAGCTTTGATGGATGCTGCATGGGAAAACGACTGAGCAATAGTCTCATCAGCTTCTATTGATGAACGTGATGTCCTATAAACACAGCCTACAGGGATTATATGGTTAATACTGTTTATAATAACCCATATTGAACCAGGCAGAGCATTTAATGTACCATCTTCAATCTTATTAGCTGTGGCAAGGCTACATATATAAATCAAACAACCTCCTCCACGTTTATGACCTCGGTTAGTGAGATAAAGGGTATAACCATCTATGCACAAGTCTACATCAAGGACTGAGGTGGGGCACCATGATTCAGTGACTAATATCGCTATGGATTTAGTTAGCAAGACTATCGTTCTCAAGTCAGAAATTTTCTTCGTCAATGACCGTGCATTGATGAGCAGAAGTGTGAAAAGGTTGCTATGACTTGTGAAGTGTTTTGCAGTATCTTGTACATCTAGTTGGTTAGAGAAATTTCCTATACCTAATTCATCAGACAATGTGCTACCTGCATTACGGACATGAGACTCAGTGGTGGTGAATGGCTATATGACCAGTGAAGTTTTACTGTACAATGATTTATGATCACTTGCTTTTTGAGGGTGCTTATAAGTAGTTAATGCGCTTTTCATTCTTACTGGTGACGTACAGCGCAGTTCATGATCTATGCAAACCAAAGATGGTAGCTCCAGGCTCGTGTTTCTGTAGGGTGAAACGATCCTATAAACCATGGGTATTACATATTGTTCGGGGTCCCAAAAAATTTTGATAAGGCTCAAAAGTGGGGATGGTATTAGGGGAGTAGTTGTATACATTCCCATAGTACTGGCTAGGGTCATCCGGGTGCTGATGTAGGTTTTGGTAGGATTTATGTGACCTATATGACATGAACGTATTTGGTATGCCACACAGCGCCCTGCTGGAGCCCTGATGGCTGGATAAGCGTGATCTAGGGTACCGTCTAATGTCAGGTGCCTTCAGGTTATTGCAGTGTCCCTTTCCGACGGTGGCAGCTCATTTGAGCATAGGAGTAACAGTAGGGGGCACAGGACTGTGCCTTGCGACACTCCACTCCCTTCCAAGTCCCAAGTTGAGGGCTGAGAATTATTCCTTTTTGTCTCCTACCAGCAAGAAAGCCTATTATTCGTGCGAAAATACTGCCAGTGATTCCAAAACTTCCCAGTTCCCCGAGCAACCTTGACTGAAGTACTTTGTCGAACGCCTTACTAAAGTCAGTGAAAATGACATCTACAGGTATCCTATCACCTTTAGACTTGGCCCAAATTTTTCCGTTTGTAAGAAAGTTCGTCAAGCAACAGAGATTTCTACGAAAATCATGCTGTAAACTAGATAATAGAGTGCTACTGTCAAGGTGGACTATGATGGCTTTCTTGATTACTCTCTCCAGGATTTTCACCACAGTACTAGCCAAACGTTTCGGTCCGTACTCTGATGGGAGCTGCTTAGAACTTGCCCAGTGGATAGGTGTTACTATTGCATCCTTCCAGTCATAGGAGAGTGTGCCTCCACTGAGAGACATTTTGCATATAGTAGTCAGTGGGTCGGCTACATAAGGTGCCAGCTGTCTGAGTAGCCTTGGGTGCAGCTCACCCGGTCCAGTCGATTTTTTTACACCTAGAGTACTCAACGTCCGAAATACATCATTACGATCGACATTCACAGGGTTTATTCTGTTGGGTGTCAATGCTTCTACAGTTAAACAAGTGTCCACGGAAGATTCCTATGTGAAGACTTCACCAAAATATCCAGCCAGGGCTTCTTCTTTTTCCCTGTCGTCCTCAATCAGACAGTCATTTTCTGCCCCATTGACTAGGGCGGGTATACCACGACATGTCTTACTTCTATAGTTCACATAGGAAAATAACCCCTTCGGATGTTGCAATACAGCCTGGGCAAGACGTGTTTCAAAGCATATTCGAGACAGGCGGATGGCAGCGATACGTCTATTGCGAGCTTCTTTGCAATGCTTCACCACTTCGGGCTTACCGAGGCGGGTGGCAAGACTCCTACACTTTTTCTTACGCCGTGGCAAGACTCAGATTTCGTGGGTTATCCACGGGGGACTGTTTTTCCACCCGTCGGAACAGTCCACGGAATGAACGGTTGGGTCACTCGTGCATATAACTGTTTCAAGGAGCACTAAGCATCTTCAGTTGAAACTTCGGAAATGACTGTCCAGTCCTACGAAGAGGCTGCCAGGTTAGTAGCTTCCACAATCGCTCTCCGCAAGTCAGGTCTAGCTGAGGCGTCAGCCTGGTACAAGACGTCTGCTGGGAATCTGAAAAAGGCCACATCGTGATCACTTTTACCAAGGGGTGCTCCGTGCTGGATGAAGCATACATCACCTGTATGACAGAATTCTAAGTCTAAAACTGGTGGAGCACGCTGATGATCATATCTGGTTGGTGTCCTAATGTGCAGTGTACGGGCTTAGGAAATTGACGTTTCCACTAACCAGTGGTCAACCAAATTACGTGGTGCTTTTGTAGTCGGTATATCCCAGTCAACGAATGGGGCGCTGGAGTCTTCTACAACTAGAAATCGACATTTATCTATCCAAAGAGTCAGCTTACTCATGAGGAAGTCTGATGACTCACAATCGGGGCTTCGATATATTACGATTACATTAACATCCTGCCCCTTGCATTCTAGTCGGCAGCGCAGCATTTCATATGTCCCACTTTCATGTGCAAGTGTTTCTATGGCTTTTACAGTTAAGTTATCCTCAACGTAAAGCATGACACCACCACTTTGCGTGCTAATCTGTCACTTCTAAAAGGGACGACTCCTCGTGTGTTTCACAGTCACTGATCCGAGAAGGGAACCAAGTTTCTGAGATAGCAATGATGTCAGGGCTTTCGTTACTTATCACATTGCCAAACTCAGTCCACTAGTTTAAAAGACCACGTGCATTTGTGTACAAGACAGTGAAACTACTTAAATGGGTTTTCGTCCTGTCCATAGAGGCTTCGGTACCACAAGAAAACCCACTACTTTCAGGTCTCGTTCTCCAGCCGCTAATCTGGATTTTAGTTCTGCTTATCGTTTTTTGGTTCTATCAGCAACAGCCAATTCCTTTCGCAAGAACACTCTAGATCCTTGAGTCCGTGAGCATTCTTCAGAATCTGGTTCCTCTCATCTACTGACCTAAACACGACTTTGTGTGGCCGAAACTTATTTTCAGTAATGACCGTTTCCGTTTTCTCACTCTACACATCTTGAGTAGGGTGGCTCTTGGCATGTTTTCCAGTAAATGCTGGTTTATCAAACTTTGCACCTTGCTGAAGTCATGTTCGAAACGTTCATGTAGTTCAGGGTCTCTGCTTTCTTCCACTGTGTGGAAAATTACGGACCTGTCAAGGATCTCTACTTCATCTTTGCCATGTAGAGTGATGATAGTTGGCTCGGTTACCGTTATTGGCTTCTTAGCATGTTGTTCAGGCCAAGTAAGAGTGGCATATTTATCGTACTGTGCAGACTGACATGTGTACTCTATCGTACAACTTCACTTGAAGTATTTTACTGAAACCCTGAAGTTCAGCATCAAAAAAGAATACTATTAAACTTGAGGCTGTCTATTTTCAGGGGTTGATTATTGCCAGAGTCTTCTTCCTCCACAGGACCGTTAGACAACTGTGTGAAGTAAGATAATCTGTTCTTCAGCTGTCGAATAATGTTAGGGTGTGAACAATCATACATGAAGTCAACTATGTGTTAAAGTAACGGATCGATTCAAATGTGTTAACTAGATTGCTAGACATGTGTTTTAGAAGTTACTGTTGGCTGGTGCTTCGTGATACGAATCACTCATTAAGATTCTCAAAATATCTGGGAAAATGGAACCCTATTTATATTACTGAATGTGAGGGTCTGAGGTCGAGATGCAGCGGTATTGATGCTGGAAGTTTAATTGGACCACTTCATGTTTTCAGAACTTGTTATGAGTTGACACCTGTTCGACTGTATACGGTACGTCACAATGTTTTCTGCTAAGATAGTTTTTCAGTGCTGCTCGTCTGCCAAGTTACTGACTGACGATGGTGATTCTGAGACATGTATCAATAAAGGTCTTGTAGCCTATGTTGCCTTCATAAGCGAGTGTTCTGAAGAAGACTTACGAAGAATTGCTGAGACAATTTGTACAGTCCGTTTGATATCTGATGAAAATGGCAAGCTTCAGTCAGTAGTTGACAGTCCCTGTGATTTGCTTATTGTCCCTCAGTTTTGTCTTGCTGGGAAGTTGAAAGGGAAGTGCTTCCAATATCATGGGGCGGTCCCCAGGGCAACTGCTGAACTAATGTATCCCCGTCTAATCACTTTTTGCGACACATATTTGCGGAAAAGTCCCTTATGGTCTTCTAAGTCGTGCAAGTTGTCTTGTGGAACATTTGGTATTCGACAAGTTCTAAGCCTGGAGACTAATGGACCTTTTACTCACGTTGTTGACTTGTAATATACATCAGAATTTACTATGATAACTTTATCTTTAATTTTCACTTTTTACGTGTTTTTTTGGTCATAGGATCTAAATATATATTCATCAGTTTTATTTAACCCAATATGATTGAGATAACGTGCAACGACAGGCTTGGTAAGAAAGTGCGCATTAAATGCAACCCGACAGACAAAGTTGGTGATCTAAAGAAGCTAATTGCCGCGCAAACCGGTACGAACTGGGAACGCATTGTGTTGAAAAAGTGGTACACTATTTTTAAGGACCACATTACTCTTCAAGACTATGAAATAAATGATGGGATGAATTTAGAATTGTATTACCAATAAGTCTTTTTACATGTCAATTTCGTATGCATTTTCAAAATATTTTCTGTTACTCACTGAATTGTTTTGGTTTCATTCGAAGGCATCGAAATAACCAACCTAGAGGATATACATTACTCTCCTTAAGGACAATATCGTCTTTTTCTTGTTGCACGCTACCTCATAAAGTCGCATTAAAAACCCCATATTGTTTTTTGTTTGGGTTCCACTAAGTAGTTTCAGTGGCTGTTGTTCATGTTTATGAAGCAACATTACTTCCAATTTCTTCTGATCAAAGATACCCATATAGTTTGGCGTTGTAAATCCAGCCAGTGTATGCTTGACTTTCTTTTCCCAATCAGTGTCAGTGACTTGGTCCCAATAGTTTTGGGCACCAAACAATGCAGTCACCGCTAAAATAAATCAGTTTAGTCTAGGTAAGATCCTATGGATTTACAATGACCTCTTGGCAATCAAAAATGGCTGCTGTTGGGTATGCACATCGTCGAAAAGTGATCATATTTTTCATAGACGTCGTAGTTTTGTGTTTCCATGATAGTTCAAATAGGATAGGTAAAGATGTCACTGACAAAAATATAAGTATGTAGGAAATAAAGTTGGAATAAAACGATGGCTGGTGTTTTTATATTAGACTGTTACTCTTATTTTTGTGTATGTTCCTTCGGGAGAAACTTTCTTACATCCATTTTCGAATTGCTTATTCCCTGCTCGAAGGTAGTTTGATGAACTTTGAGGATTCAGTTGTTCTCGTTAGAGTTTTGATGGAGTATGCTTTTCTAAATGTCGTAGATGGTGTGCAGGTATTGGCATACTTTTTCAACTGCTTCATAACTAATATGCCTTTACTTTTATTTTGTAGAGTATATTAGTTGAAAATATTGGTTTCATCGTACAGCTAGATAGTTGTTGCATGTTCAATGAGTCATTTGTGCAATTGACTTGTCTTAGGTATAACCTGTTTGTCATTTGCTGAACTTATGTTTATCTGATATTTGATCTGTTCTGCTATATTAGACTATGTACGCTACTAATATTTTGTGCATCATTGGCTTTATAAATAGTGGTCGTCAACGTTTGTTTCTTGTTTGAGCTGTGGCTGCTTGGTTCAGGCACCTGCATCCATTATCTTACTCTACTTAGACTACCAAAACTGAACATCCAGCTGCTTTCAGTAACTCCGATACAGCGGGGACAGTTCGTAAAGCGACATCGTAAATTTTACCAAAATCACCGTCAGAGAAATGTACTGTTTACTAGCCTACAGGATTTCGAGTTGTGTTGTGTGGGAGCTGTTTTTAAATTGGAGAGTTGTGTTCCGGGTTAAGTACGTCAAGTGTTATTCATTTTGGGAAGTTCATTAGCTACTTTTGAATCCTCTCTTCTGGTTTTTGACTTCTGGAAGGATTGTTATTTCTGAAGTCTGATAATCAGTACACAGCCTGTTAGCATCGTAGTTTGTGGTACCTTTCGGTCAAATTTTTATGAGGCATAGTAAATGTGATGTTGCAAGCGTTTCCACTACTACTACTCACTTCTCCCTTGGGTTCCTAGTGGAACATAGGGCTTCAGTCACACACCTGCATTGCACTCTGTTCTCCGCAGTCTTTTAAACCTGGCACCACGACTGCCCACAAGCTTTCATTTCTTCCTCACATGATCTCCTCCGTGTCACCCTCGGACGCACAACTCATCGTTTCCCATCTGGGTTCTACTTGAGTGCCTGGCGTGTGATGTCCCCAATCGGCCTTCTAAGTGTATGCCTAATCCATCTCCACTTTTTTCTGCATATTTGTTGGGTGATAGGTTCTTGGTTGGTCCGTTGCCAGAGTTCCTTGTTGCTTATTCTTTCTGGCCATCTGACCTGCTCTTCAGTATCAGTATCGAGTGAGTGTAGGCTACAGCTGTTGATGAATGTCTGTAGTTCGTCGGAAGTGCTTTTCGTGACGCACCAAGTTTCTGAACCGTATAGCAGCAGACTTGACATTAGTGTTAAAAATCTGGACCTTGATCTTTGTGCTGAGTTGATTGCAGTAGATCTTCACATTGATTTCTGATTAATGAAGGACTGTCTTGCTTTTCCGATCCTGGCTTTGACGTCCTCATCTGTGCCGCCTGTAGTTGAAACTATACTGTCCTGCCTAGATAGGTGAAAGAGGCTACTTCCTTTAAGTTTCTCCTGTTGATGGTGTTGGAGCTTGTTGTTGTTGGTGGCGTTGGTTGGGTATCTTTATCACCTCTGTCTTCTTTACGTTCACTTGAAGTCCCGTCTTCGCTGCCCTGCCTTTTCTGTCAACTTGTTAGTTTTCACCTGTAGATCTACGAGTTTGTGCGACGTTAGACACAAGTAGTCGGTGAAATTCAAATCTAGGATCTTTCCCCCGGTCCAGCCAGGGTATGCCCATTTTTTCGCTCGTCACAGTTTGTTGCATGATGCTGTCCACCACAATCAAGAAGATCATTGGTGATAGGCAGCCTTGTCTTACTACTTCCTGTCTTCACTTCAAAGTCATCACTGAGCGTTCCATTGTGAATTACTTGGCATGTGGCTTCTTCATATAGCTGTTGAATGAGGTTGATAAAGATTTGTGGCACTAAAACCGTAGTGTCGAAGCGACTGCCACATTACTTCTCGGTCGATGCTGTCGAAAGCCCTTTCAAAATCGATGAAGTGGAGGTGAGGTAGAGATTTGACTGCATTCTGTGTTCTGTTCTATGATGATGAGTAGCGTAGCGTTACAATTTGATCCGCACATGATTTGTTCTTACTGAAGCTAGTGAGCCTGTTTCGGTCGTAATTTTGAATCGAGAGCATTTTTTAGTCTCTCCAGGATGTTGCGGTATAATATTTTGCTTGGGGTGGACAGCAGCATGATTACGCGCCAGTTCTTGCAAAGATTCAGGTCGCCTTTCCTTGGGAGTTTGACAAGCTAACCCTTCTTCCAACCTGCAGGTACCTTAAGTGTCTTCATACCAATACATAATTTACATGGTTTTACGTTTATATGAGTTCTTAGCAAACACTTAAGCAGGGTTAATGGAGGTGTGAAGTAAAAGTTGTGATCGTGCATAGACTGCAATTTTGGTATGTTTCTTGGATGGCTGAAAATCTCTGCATGTGTGGATGAAACGTATGGTGGCAGAAGTATTCGCTGATAAAATGGAGCAAAAACCGTAGAAGTAATATATTTGCTCTGAGTCATTCGGAAGCAGCCTATGAAGTAGGTGTTAAGCCGACCAATCGGCAAAAATATAAATTCGTCCTAGCAACGCAATGACAGTCACTTTTGCTTTGAAGAAAGGTGGTGGTCATTTGTCGTACTACAATCTACCGTATCGTTCACAGACTAATTGTTTCTTCATTTGTACTTGTTGCATTTTCATGTTTGGTGTAGCAATTTAAAACGATGTAATATACCAGGTTCTGAGTTAATTCAGTCAGTCATCTCCCTAACCGTGTAGAATGCTTATCTTGCCTACTTCTTGTCCAGCGTAGCACGGCAGAAAAAGATAAGTAATATCGGACCAGCCATTATGACCCATTGCTCCAGTTATCCACACTCCATATCAGCAAATTAGGTGAGAAAGACATAAAAAAAGTTAACGAAGTAGAGAAAGCAGTCAAAAGTGGTAGCAAGTCTCGATAGCAAAATCAGGATGAACAAGTAAATACTGAACTGGGTATTACGATTAAGATAACGATAATGAGTGCATACATCTGTTCCTGTGATGTCGATCCTCAACGTTGTTACCTGGAGTCACCAACCTCTACTTCCTTCTATCACACGTGGACCCCAACCAGGAAGTCTACACTTCTGTACATGGCTCAGACCAAAAGTAAGAGATCTCATGGACTGACGCCAAGTTGTAGTCTGGATACCTGTAACTTTTCTCTAGCCTAAACCTACCTCAGCTAACATTGTGCGATGAGGTAGACGGTGACAAAGAATGTGTAACCAATGGCCCAGACACCTTAGCCGATGAAGGTTCATAACCTCATCAAATGATTTTCCTTATCTCCCTAAAACTCTACCATCGACTTTTTTGACCCAGTTAACATGATTATTCAATAAAAAATAACTCATTATTTCGTGCGCTGAAGCTTGGTGCCATGAGTCAGGAGTTCGAATCCAACTTCACCTAATGAGGTTGAGTTAGGCGACATAGATCATAAATGAGTGTCATTACCGGCTTTATATATATATACACCAAAATTAGTTGACTATCCACACATTTAGCTGTTCATCTGAACACTATTCTGCGCTCTCCTGTTAAATTTATCGAAGTGTAAAGTCTTACACTTGACAGCGAGGTCTGATGAGACTTAAACGGAAGTACTACCCTGCTCAGTTTTACCTCCTCTCTTTCATGATGTAAGTATTTTCCACTGGTCTGCATTCCGTAAGAAAATCCACTTGCCTTCATGGTTAGATATGCTTACTGTCAATGGAAGATTTGAGAAAAGTGATTGTTTTTCCTCTCTAACCATGAGTTTTCCTGGTGAGGATTTGAGTCTAGCAATCGTCTTCAATGTAACCGCTCAATGAACTGATATTGTTTATTCTATGCGGCTGATCATCCTTAAACCATACAGTAGAAATATACTCATTCGTTACTCCTGCTTCAGGACGTTTGTTTTACTGGATCAAATTTCTATCCATGGCTTTTAAGTGATTATTATCATGTTATGACACGACATCGCTCCTCTGGATGAAGCTGGGTGTAGTCTCGAGTTAGCTGTAAAAAATCCGTTAAAGACTGGAAATGACTTTCAGGAAGAAGTTATAATTGGTCAGCTTCTTTTGAACAAATGAATGCATGTGAACTCACTCTTGGAGGTTCCGAGCAGTATGAGCAACGAAGGCAAGAGAAATTTAGAGTGAAGAAGAGTTTATGTGACCACCGTGAGCGATGAAGACCAAAGGTAACAGCAGTGGGCTAGAGTTGACAGTTATTAAGAATTATCAACGGAAATGGGCCAAAAAAGTCTAGTAAGTGAGAATATAAGGGAGAAGGGTAGGTTTACGATTAACTCTCAGAGTAGATAACTGGAACGAT